CGGGGGCGGGGCGGCGCGGGGCGGGGCGCACCCGGGGGCGAAAGCCCACCCACCGGCCCCAAGTCTGATTTTGGAAGCTCGGCCCCGGGGTGTCCAAGGACTGAGTCTAGACTATCAAGGGTCATCCCTACCAGCTTCACAACCTCCCATCCTTGCCACCCGGGTCCACTCGGGCAACTGTAGCTCCAACCACAGTTCACTTCTGATCTTAGACTTCTCAGAACTCAGGCTGGATCGGCCGTCACTCGCCCACAGATGGGGGAGACCACTGAGCAGCCCTGTGATGATGCTCCACCCTGAGTTAATGATAGTTAAACTTAGTCCATTAGAAAATGGACTAAATGATAAAATGGGGCAGATGATAAAAACAAACTCCAACAATGCACTGGACACAGCCTATGTGGGCTACGGCAGTCACAGTAACCCTAAACCAGGGGTCCTCAAACTTTTTAAACAGGGGGCCAGTTCACTATCCCTCAGACCGTTGGAGGGCCGGACTATAGTTAAAAAAAAAAAACTGTGAACAAATTCCTATGCACACTGCACATATCTTATTTTGAAGTAAAAAAACAAAACAGGAACAAATACAATATTTGTATTTGCATGTGGCCCGCGGGCCGTAGTTTGAGGACCCCTGCCCTAAACATTCAGGGCTGACCCTAGTCTAACCTGAGAGAAACTCTTTTTAACGCCCAGGCCTGGCCCTGCACACCCTTGTAGGCTGCAGAAGATAGGCAAGGACAGCCTTCACTGCTCTTCCCCACCCACACTGCCTAAACTCTAACAAACCTGCTCAAGGTGGGACAATTGTGTTAACATCTAGGTGGCAGAAAAGCTATAAACTGGGATTCCTTTCTTACCAGCACATCAAATCAATCTTTGAGAGATCAGAGAGCTGGTAGGTACTTAGAAGGAGATGTGTGTAAACTACATAAGACATTTGAAAAAATTAGTGTAACAGCTGATATATATTTTTCTTTCCCACAGGGAAGAGAATGTGACAGATTAATATGTGCTCTGTTCTGACCCATGAGTCAGTTTCCTCAAATCTAACTGGATTTATCTACCTCAACTCTATCCCAAAGAACCTGCTGTGATGGTGGGAATAAAAAAGTTCTATTATCCATGCTGTCTAATATGGTAAACATATGGCTAGTAAGCACTTGAAATGTTGCCAGTGTAAATGAGAAGTTGAATTAAATTTAATAAATTTAAAGTGCCATATGTAGCTAGAAACTACCATATCTAACAGTACAACTCCAAGTGAACTAGCTAAATGCATTTTCATAACCTGCAATGGTGAGAACCAGACATAGGGTTATGATAACCCCGGGGAAACCACCTTCATAGCCTTGCTATAAGAAGCCAACCACCACCCTCTTACATGCAACATCTATCTCTTTCCTAAAATAAAACTGCCATGCAAGGATTTAGAATGATAAACATCCCCAAACTTAAGAGGGAAAAAGAAATTGTTTCTTATTTTAAAACAAATGACAAGTAAGCATTTACAGTGCAAAAACTCAAAATAAAAATGCCCTAAAACAGATGCTATTATTCATAGGAATTTAATACATAATAAAGGTATTACCACACATCAACAGAGAGAAAAATGGCCACAAATAAAAAGGGTTATCACCCTAGCCAGTTTGGCTCAGTGAACAGAGCGCCGGCCCACAGACTGAAAGGTCCTGGATTCTACTCCAGTCAAGGGCACATACCTCGGTTGCAGGCTCGATCCCCAGCCCTGGTCTGGGCTTGTGCAGGAGGCAACCAATCATTGTGTTTCTCTCACATCAATTTTCTCTCTGTCTCTCCCTCTCCCTTCCACTCTCTCTAAAAATCAATGGAAAAATATCCTCTCATGAGGATTAACAAAACAAAAAAGTTAACAACAGAAATCACACACTTTAAAACACACCTCTGGATGTCAAAAAAAACACACCACACACACATACACACACACACACACACACACACACACACACACTAAAAAAAACAGCTGGGGCAAATTATTTGCAATAAAGGAGAGACAAACTAAAGGTTAATGTTCTTAATATATAAAAAAACTCTTACAAATTTGTAAGAAAAAAGTTCAAAAAACTGTCCAAGAACATGAGAAGATGAGAACCAGGAAAAACACATTAATTTCATTAATGTCAAAGAAATGCACATGTCATTTTTCACCTATTAAAATGATAAAAATATAAAATATCCACTGCACCCAAAAGTACTGATATTTTCATACAATGTTTGAAAGTATTTTCATACATTGCAAATTGACATTAATATTCCTTAAAAAGTTATATCCTTTAATAATTCTGTCAGATGTCAACCTACTAAACAAATAACCAGGGATATAAAAAGATTTATAAGAATCTTCATCAACAGCATTTATAATAAAAAAATTACAAATGAGATTAATAAAGCAAGTCATGGCTCATCTATTCAAAGGAATGCTATAAATTAAATGTTTTTAAGGCTATATTAAAAACCATTAAGTGAAACATAAGTAAACTGTACTGAATGCTTCTCCCAGTAACATTTTAATGTTAAAAATATAAAATACCAACTGCCTCCCCTGCTCCCAGAATGCCCTTCTCTGCTCCAAGCCATCCTCCATCATCGCCTCTGAAGCCCTTCTCTGCAGCTCTAATCTACTCCCTATCCCTGCCCTTTGGTTGCCAGGCATTCCCCACAGTAAACATTTCTCTGCAGGTCAGTCCCAGTGATAGAAGACACTTTTATAATGTCTTAATCTTCTTAAAGGACTTTTCCCCAATACCCAGCATCCTTCTCTGCTACTTCAGCCAGCTCTCAGGACATCCAGCTCTGTTCCTCCAACCCCTACCTCCATCCCAAAGAGCTTCCCTTCTTTCCTGCTTATGAATGACTGAATGAGTGATCTAAGAGAATAAATCCAATTCTGATCAAGGAAATCAAATTACTAAGTTTAACTCCAGATGATATGACAGGATACTTTTATTTTATTTTATTTCCATTATTCTATTCTCACCATATTTTCTACAAGGATGCATACCATGTATACTTTTATAATAAGGAGAGAATAAACAAACAGAACTGTACTTTCCCCAAATTTCAACCCGCCCCTAGGTTGAGATTAGAGATACTCTAATCAGTTGTGTGATTTCCACATATTTTGGAAAACATTTAGAACCTACAGTAGATCCAGCCTCAACAAGTAGCCTCTGGCCACGAAACAGCAGTTCTCTTTCCTGGAATTAAAGATTAACACAAAATTATAACATATCTCAAAATCTTGTCTGTAAATTGCAGACGAATTCATAACAAAACCTGCCAGAGGGCTCACGATACTATTTTACAAGGTTGGCTGTGGTCTTCCTCTTTTCACAAATGGCCAGCTTGATGCATAGCATGTTTAGCTACAAACGCCTCTGCTGACTCTCCCTGCAACATTTTCATGGCTCGCCAATAGATCTGTCCGCAGTTCTCAGGTCTACCAAGGGGGTGGTTCAATTCTTCTTTGATGTAATCCATCCAAAGATCTTTAAAGGGAACCAAAAACTTACTATAAACATACAATTAGATAAAGGATGCGGCTTTATTAGGTAAACTTAATTATTTAATATCAATGTACCACAAGATTTCTAAGAAACTTAACTTCTTATGATTTCCATAGAACCCTATGTGAAACAATACCTCTCTTATCATCTTTACTCTAGATATATCAAAACTATTTTTTTTAAGTAGAAAACTTCACTTTAATCATAGTAATCTATATATTTTACAAACTCAAATAGACTATAAATATTTTGGAGGCAGAATTTTGTTGAGTCTCTTTCAAGGTGAAACTGACCTCAATGAGTTCACTATAACCCTGTTACAATGCTTAACAAAACTTGTTTGGGTTAGTAAGCAAGTTTTTTCATGCACTCTGTCAGAAGGTCTGTTGAAACCTCTTAAGAACTAATGCATTTTTTAAAATGTGGGTTTAACAACTACACATGTCAGTTTCTGAGTGTGAATTTACATGCCATACCTACACCCAGAAGTCCTATAAATGAGGACAATGTGGCAACAGTCAATGACAACTAACGTCAATTAGCTTGCCACCACCCCTTTACTGTAACTCCCATTCCTTTTTGTTCTGACCACATTGACCTTTCCCTTACAAATGCCACAGTTTTTAAAGAGAACCAAACCAATCAAATCTTCCTCTATTCAAGAATTAATAGTTTTATCTGCAAGTACTTATGCACCAAGTGAGGGAACAGGCAGGGCAAGGATGCAAGTTTTATTCTCAAAGAGGGCCATGACCCAAAAGTTAAGAAACACTGTTCTAACCACACTGATAGGTTACAGATCACACATGCAAACAGACTTTTGTGTGTATAGCTAAAGTTTACTTACCAGAATCTACAGATCCAAACTCTCTCAAAGCCCTCTCATAATATTCTCTCAAGTTCGCCATTTTGCAGGATTCCTAACAAAAATAATCAGACAATCTTGCCTCAAAACCTTAATTTACAATGTCACAAATTCATTTCAACCACATTGTTAAACTGCTACCATCTATTAGGTACTTGAAGGAGAGGAGGGTTGGGGCTTAAGATGAGCATAGCCTGGCTTTCAACTTACTCAGAGAAAAGTTATATGCATTTACTTCCAGAGTGAAGTAAAAGTTAGTGATAAAAAGCACTTTGCTATGGTAGCATGGAAAAAGCCTAATTAGTTCTCAGTGGGAGGAATATGGAAGCTTCACAGGAAAGTATATTTGAAAGCCCTGAGGGAGGAGTAGGATTAAAATAAATAAATGCAGAAGGTTCTACTCCTTATGGCTAGGGATGTCTTCCTTTTGAATACCTGGCCTCTAGCACATGTTAGCTATGTCAACCTTAAAACTTTTTAGCCCTAGCCAGTTTGGCTAAGTGGATAGATCATCATTAGCCTGCGGACTGAAAGGTTCCAGGTTCGATTCCGGTCAAGTGCATATGCCCGGGTTGTGGGCTCCATCCTCACTATGGGGTGTGCAGGAGGCAGCCAATCAATTATTCTCTCTCATCATTGATGTTTCTATCTCTACCTCTCTCTCCCTTCCTCTCTGACATCAATATATATATATATATATATATATGAATATATATATATATATATATATATATATATATATATATATATATATAAAGTTTTTTATTGAGGCAAAATATATATAAATACTGGTTATATGACCTTTCCCAAATTTTTTTTAATCCTCACCCGAGGATATGTTTTTCATTGATTCTAGAGAGGGGGAGAGAGAGAAGCATCAATGTGAGAGAAAAACATCAATCAGTTGCTTCCCGTACTCACCCCGACCTGGGATCAAACCCCCAACCTGGTATGTGCCCTGACTGCGAATCAAACCTGCAATCCTATGGTACAAAGGACAACACTTTTTTTTTTAATTGATTTTTTACAGAGAGGAAGGGAGAGGGATAGAGAGTTAGAAACATCGATCAGCTGTCTCCTGCATACCCCCCACTGGGGATGTACCTGCAACCAAGATACATGCCCCTGGCTGAAATCGAACCTGGGACCCTTCAGTCCGCAGACAGACGCTCTATCCACTGAGCCAAACCAGTCAAGACAACACTTTAACCAACTGAGCCACATGGCCAGGGTGACCTTTAGCAAACTTTTTAAATCCTCTGACCTTGAAAGGATCCTCACACATAAAACAAGGATAATGATATATTAGAGCAGGGGTCCTCAAACTTTTTAAACAGGGGGCCAGTTCACTGTCCCTCAGACTGTTGGAGGGCCGGACTATAGTTTAAAAAAAAACTATGAACAAATTCCTATGCACACTGCACATATCTTATTTTGAAGTAAAAAAACAAAACGGGAACAAATACAGTATCTGTATTTGCATGTGGCCCGCAGGTCGTAGTTTGAGGACCCCTGTATTAGAGTAATTACAAAGACTAAATTAAAATGCTGATTAATTATGCACCGAGCCAAAGAGTGGGTACTAACTTCACAATAAAAAAATGCTAATGCTTCTCTCTCTCTCTCTCTCAAATTAATAAATAAAAATAAAACAGTAAAAACTGTGTATATAAGTAAACAAAAAATTAAAGAAAACAATAAAAGTAACAACAAACATGGTTGGTTGTGTTACTATAATGGGATTAGATACATTTGATATCCATGTATTAGTTTTCTGAGTCTTTCCTGTATTTTTCCTCACTCACGTGCTCTGTTAAAAATACCAGAAACAGCCCAGCTGGCATAGCTCAGTGGTTGAGCGTCCACCTATGAACCAGAAGGAGGTCACGGTCGATTCCCAGAGAGGGCACATGCCTGGGTTGTGGGCTCGATTCCCCAAAGGGAAAGCCAATCAATGATTCTCTCTCATCATTGATGTTTCTATTTCTCGCTCCCTCTCCCTTCCTCTCTGAAATCAATAAATATATTTATTTATATATAAAAAAAAATATATATATATATGTATCAGAAGCAGTTACTGGGTGCCTATTCTTTACCTCATAACCCAATACAAGAGATAAACAGGATGCTGTGGAGGCAGAAACAGTGCCTCGCCCAGCCTGGCAGGGAGGGCTTTCTATAAGCGGTGACATCTAAGTATTCAATTTCCTGAGAGGTACATTCTCTTCTTTGCCTGATTACCATTTCTAAACCATCTCTATGAAAAAAAGGGATTAGACAAAGGGACCAGAAATTTATATTGTATTATAATGAGCTTTTTAAATATTAAAATGCTGCCATAAATTAGTAACCACTAATCAATTTTCCCAGACAAGAAATGAATAAATAAGAACACTTACTTGCTCTTTTTCAAATTGGATTACTTTCCTGAAAAAAGCAACTGAAAATGGACGGCTTTCCTGTAAACTAAAAAGTAGAGGGGGCACTGTTATCCTCCATATTGATAGCCACTGCCACCACAAAACGTGGTTCAATAAAAATCTGCCCACAATTCAATGCAAGGACTGGATTTAACCACCAGTCACTCAGTGCTTTCAATCTCCAATGATACTCTTCACCACCACCAAATTCTTTCCTATCCGGCTTTCTTCCTGTTCTTTCTTACTTTCAGAGTCTTAAGTTCCCTCTTCTACTACATCCCAAGGTCTTTTGAAAGAGACCAATAATTCTACTTCTAAGAATATCTTCTAGGGTAATGGTTTCCAACATGGATATATTTATGCAGAAATGTTCATCAAAGCAGAATTATTGTGCCAAATAACTTATGGCACATCTACAGAGTGAAATACCATATAGCTATTTTTAATAAATAATGTCTATGAAGAATTATTAATGACAGGAAAAAGGCCAGGCTTAATGTTCACCAACAAAAGTGATAAATAAAATGTAATTATAGTATAATTTCAAATATGTGACAGACAAATTTTAAGATGATATAGCAACATGAGTTTTTCTCTTGATGGAGGGATTAGAATGAATATTTAGTTATCTCTTTTTTCTTCTTTTTCATAATAGGTACGACTTGCTTTTACTGTTCAAAAAACAAATAAATAAAACTTGTTGAAAAGCCTCTGGGATTACTTCCTCAGATACTATTTGTGACACATGTAATCTGTGTATGAGGAGCTGCGTGTGGAGTGGAGAAACTAGTACAGCTATGGACATCTGTGAGTACCTTTTAAACACAGCTCTGGCCTTTTTGTAGCCACCGCTTCGATAAGCCCAATCCAGGTACTTTTCCTTCAAAGTGACTGAGTCAGCACCCGTGACAGCTAAAATAGCTTTCTACAATTCAAAAAAAAAGACACAGCTGTGTGAGAAATTTATAAATATCAAAACCCATTTTCCCAGAGCCATCCCAGGTTGCTCAATAGTGCTTTAGGAAGAGCTGCTATAGAAATAACCCTAAAGCTAACCAACCAATAATCCTATCTGCTCATTCCCTACCCACTACAAAACTCAGAGCGGGCCTATACCTTATAGATGGCTTCAGTGTCTTCTTGGCTTTTGGCACCTTCACTCCACTCTGCCCAAGAAATCCACAATGGCAGACAAACCTGCTCATAATAAAAAAAAAGTTAGGAAATGAGAGCTTAGCACTACACTCTGAAAACTAGTCGCTATAAAGACACGTTCCTCCTAAGACAATCATGGATTCATTCCCACTCTGTCCTTGCTTTGATAGAAGCTTCTGTGACCAGGAATGACATGCCAGAATACAGCCTTCTAAACAAGTCACCCAAAGCAATACTCTCCTGTTAACTCTAGTTCCCTTATGCTGAGGAATGTTGCCTATCTATATATATAAAAGCCTAAGCTGCCGAACAACCGGTTGACCGATCGCTATGATGCATACTGACCACCAGGGGGCAGGTGCTCAGCAGCTGCCCCCTGGTGGTCAATGTGCTCCCACAGCCAACCTCCCGCAGCTGGCCAACCTCCCATGGACCCCTCCCCCTGGCCAGCCGGCCCTGATCAGCCCTGATTGGGACTGGGCGAGATGGCTTCTATCAGCCCCATCACCGGTCAGGCTGAGGGACCCTACCTGTGCACTAATTCGTGCACTGGGCCTCTAGTAGTTATTATAATTGATTATCTGTTAGTTAATTAACAGCCAATAGCTAGTCAGACCTATACCTACCGAGGTCTCTGCTCTTTAGGGCCCACAACACAAGTACTAATTATCTAGGCTGAACTATCTAACCTTCACTCATGTCTCAGAGGCACACGCATATGAGCAATAAAATAATTAAGATTTTTTTTCCCACTTTAACTTCTGGAATACTTTTTTCCTACTAATATAAAAGATTCACTGCAAAGCTTTAAGGTTTAGTCCATTAACCTTTAAAGTTTAGAAATATACATGTGTTTTAAAAATCAGGCTTAAGCTCAGCTTTTGTAGCAAGTGAGAATATACTATTAATATTTCTCACTTGTAGGGTATCTAGATGGAATATAAAACTTTACATAGTCAATTTCCAAATAAAGAATTAGAAATAGGCCATTAAATCGAAGTAAATTTTTCTACTCTTGACCCTTAAATCACAAACGTACTCTAGGGCCAGCCCTCCTGAGACAAGTACAAACATACTCTAGGGCCAGCTCTCACGAGACAAGTACACTCCAACTATGCTTTGGCTGAAATCTTACAAGGTTTCCCAAATAGAATGAAATACTCACAGACCTGGGGTTTCAGGGACGCAAAGGCTTCTTTAAAAACACTGGCTATGTCAGGGCTCTTGGAATCAATCAGCACCTGCAGCTTCATCTGCCACATCATCACAGAGTCTTTAAACAATTCAATCCCGGCCACTGCCACCTGCAGAGCTTCCTTAAGTAAGTCATGCTGCCGCAACAACTCAATCTGGATAAAACGAAGGATCAATGGAAAATTAATACTGAGAGCTAAATTATCTATGTAATGGGGGGGAAAGGAGGCAACAATTTCAATAGCCTTGCCACTAAGCCTTTCACTATGGCTGCCAAACAGGCACAAAGTGAACAATTTGCAAGTCCTCCTCCATTCCCTGCTCCTACTCCCAAGTGGTATCCAAAGATAGGGAAGAGGTGAAAATTAGAAGGCCTAAATAATTTAGATTGAAAGTTAAGTTTTTAATAAAATAGTTCACTATAATAAAACCCATATCCACCAAATAGAATATAAAAATTAGTAAAGAGCTGGGCTGGTATAGCTTAGTGGTTGAGTGTCAACCTATGAACCAGGAAGTCACCCCTCCATTCCCCTGTCAGGGCACATGCCCAGATTGTGGGCTGGTCCCCAGTAGGGGGCATGCAGGATGCAGCCGATCAATGATTCTCTGTCATCATTGAAGTTTCTCTCTCTCCCTTTTCTTTCCTCTCTGAAATCAATAAAAATATATTTTTTTAAAAATCAGTAAAGATAAGACCAGTATTTGTAGGTTGGTAAGGAAACTAAAAGTTTATTCATTCAAACAGAGTTGAGCACACTATAAACTGGTACAATTTTTCTAAAATATAATTTGACATTATGTAACAAGAGTCATAAAAGTGTTTGCAACTTATATTTGGGAATTATATTTTAACAAATATGGCCCAAAAGTATATCAATGGAAGGAAATCTAATCTGTTCAAAATGCTTGTATCCACACTATTTTATTTATTTTATTTTTTTAAATATATTTTTATTGATTTCAGAGAGGGAGAGGGAGACAAAGATAGAAACATCAATGATGAGAGAGAATCATTGATCAGCTGCCTCCTGCAAACCCCACAATGGGGATCGAGCCCACAACCAGGGCATGTGCCCTGACCAGGAATCGAACCGTCATTTCCTGATTCATAGGTCAACGCTCAACCTCTGAGCCACGCCAGCCAGGCAACACACTATTTTAACAAGGGAAAAAAACCTAAAACCAATTCAATTTTATAAAATTGTGAAACAGCAAATAAAAGGGGAGTATATAATCCATTCACTCAGCAAGATTTTTATTGCATGCTGTATTTGCTAAATTCAATCATGAGAATATCAGGTGCATTCTCTACCACCCACAGAGCCTCTAGTCTAGCAGTTTGATATGTGCCATGACAGAAAAAGCATCATTGCTTTCGAAGTATAAAGCATGGTTTACGGCAGTGATGAGAAAGGCCTCCAACCAATAAAGAAGCATCATTTAGACTTAAGAAAAAGCAGGCATTAGTCAAGTGAAAGCAGAGATTCCAGCCAGCATATGCAAGAGGCTGAAGGTGAGAGACAGCTTGGATACAAAAGGAAATCCAAGTTTAGAATGGCTGGAGGGGTAGGATGTAAACTGCAGGGCTGGCAAAAGAGGCTGGAAATACAGGCAGGGGCCAAATTAATGACACTGAGCAGCTTTACCCAAAGGACAGTGGAAAGCCACAGAATAATCTGATAATCAATTTTAAAAGAACATTCAGTGGGGATTCATCTGGACAAAGGATGGATGTAGAAATCAGCAAAGCTTAAGTTCAGCGGCAGTATGTTGAGGCACTCTCATTAAAGGCAAGGTCACTGAATGAGCGATGAGGTGATAGGGTTAGGAAGAACAAAATGAGAGATTTGGAGAGCAGAGGATGTTTGAAATAGCCAGAGTGGTGAATGGCAAAATAAGCAATAAGGAGAGAGCGTGACTGCCAAGACAATACTCAAAGCAAAGCCCATCTGGATATACAGGGTGGGACTGTCGTGCCAGCATTCAGTAACTCGAATTGGGACAGCTGAACTCACCCAGGTCTGGGATTTTTGCCAGACAGATGCTATAGCGGGAGAAGGGCACCTCAGTAGTGGTATAATATAATAGTCTACTGTACAGGATATGCACCATGTAAGTATATGTAGAAAGTATTTTTGAATGTTAATGTAAAAATAATAGAATACAAAATAGCAAAACATTAGTTGTAATTATATAAAAATTGTATACTGATATGAATCAGGAGTTATACAAATCAAAGGCACTAAACAAATATAAAGATTTTGGTCCTTTTTTTCCCTCCAAAGGTATTTAAATACACTAACACGTTCATTATCTCATGTTATGCTCTCAACAACTCTGTGATATGGCAAAAACAAGGACTGCTATCACTATTTTAAAATCAAACTCAGAAAGGTTAAGTGATTTGCCCAAGTCACCTCGCTGTTAAGTGGCAAAACCTGATCTAGAACTATGTACTCCTACAGCACATTACTCTGGTCTCTACAATAATCCTTACCCACCCGGGGGAAGGAATGGGTTAATATGCCTCCTAGAATGTCAGCTTCTGAAACACAGGGAACACATCTAATGTGTTTTAATTGTACCAATGGTTAACCTGGGCCAGGCATTTAGATTAAAGCTAGGAAAGGCATGTTCAGGAAAAGATAGAAGTGTGGACAAATCAACCAAACAGTGACTCCTTGTTCTGAGTGTTTCCCGCTCTATAACATTCTTCCCTTTACTGGTACAGGTTTCATTTTGTTATACAACTAACACTGAGAGCCAAATGTAAATACTCTCTACATCCACATACCAAACTTCCAAATGGTCTTAGTCACATACCATGTGTATCACAACAATGACACCAGCACGAACCCACTGGAACTGAATACGTATAATTGCAGTGAATGTGTTGGTGTCCTTACCCACTGCTTGTACAGGAATTCTGGTAGAAGTCTGAGTTCATGTGCCTTCTTGAATGCAGTCATGGTCCTTTCCAGCCTCTGGAACCAGAAAAATGCCTCACTTCATCACAAAGATCCCAGCAGAGGTTGCTGGCCTCTGATAGGAACAAATGCAGTTTCGCACATTTCTGAGAGCTGGGAGAAGGGACTGAGGTGGTTTCACTTATGATCAGATGAGCTGGACAGCTGCCCCAAGCACAGCCCAGCAAGAGAGCACCTCCCGACCCAGGGACCAGGATAAGGGCAAAGCAGACTCAGACCTTCAGAATGACAGGTCACTCAAGGAGAAAGAGCAATAAGCACGAGGTTCTTGGAAGCTGTCCCAGGCCCCAAAAGAGTCTGTCCTTCTTTGAAAAGGTAGTCACTTTCTCTTCGGCCCTGTGACCACGTCCTTACCTGCCCTCTGAGGGACTGATTACTTGTCTTCTTAGCAAATCTTTCCAAGCAAAAGCTGATGTAACACTTCCACATGGCCTCTGAAAACATCAGAAAGATTCCACTGATCAATCACCAATTCTTAGTTTAACAATCATCATACATCTTTCCTTTGAAGGGAAAACTCCTCTGAAGAAGGGATTAAACTAATCTCATGGGGGAGTGGAGGGGAAGAGCTATTCTGATTACAGCCAATAAACCATCTCAAACACTGGGGAAAAAACAACTGAGTAATGACATAAATATAAAAATTGAAAACCATGTTATATATGCCCTCTTAATACTTCAATATTACAAAATTAGGAAGTAATCTATATTAAAAGATAATTAAGGAATTATAATTAAACAATCTTCCTAATATCACTTCCCCAAATAAGTGAATACATACATATATATATCACTACTGTCAAGGAAGGTCATAAAAGCTCCATCTTTCACCACCAGAGAAAGAAGAGGTTGTAAAGCCAAGTACACTATAAACTACCGGAGATTCCTGAAAGCGACCTGGTCACGGGAACCGGAGCTTCGGTCTCCCGTTCATGAACACCATTGCTTCCACACCGCACCGTGGTTTGGTGCAGCTCACCTGTAGGGAGAGTCTGGACTGCCTCTTCGTACACAGCGCAGCAGCGCTCCTCCCTCCGGCCCATCTCCAGTGCTCGGGCTTGCTTTGTCGCAGGCTGCTCTTCTCCTGGCTGTGGCTGGATCTCTAATTCTCGCCGTGCCACATAATCCCAAGTGAGAGGGTCGTCTGTGTGCAGAGCCTGAAGGCTGGAAAACAGTTTACTGGCATGAATCCTATGGCAGGAGACTAATTCAGATATCCAAAAGACAGTTCCCTATGCTCTATAAATGTATCCAAGGCAGCCCTTTAACAATCCGTTACCATAAACAGGCTCTTCAGGTTACCTTCACACTCACGGTATAAATTTTGTCTATGGATGATCAGAGTTGTCGCCATTTATTAGGTTTCAGTGTTAACTTTCAAGTTAGCTCTCAAAGTCAAATCAGCAGGGAGGTATGAGGACACAATCCTCCTTGAGCCCTGGAGAACCTTAGTATATCCAGGCTCTTGCATTTCTAAAATAAAGGCAGAGAAAAAGCAACACCTAATCCTTTACCAAAACCCTGAAGCTGTCTAAAGAGAAAACAGACCCACATTCTACTTTATCTCCTGTGAAAGGAAGGGGTACTACCTCAGAGTGAAGTACCCACAGGTATGCTCCAAGTAATTCACAACCATATAACCAGAATTAAAGAATAAAGTGCCCTAGCTGACTCAGCGGATACAGCGTTGGCCTGTGGACCAAAGGCTACTGGGTTCGATTCCGGTCAAGAGCAGATATCTTGGTTGCAGGCTCCTCCCCGGCCCAAGCCCTGGTCTGGGATCGTGCAGGAGGCAACCAACCGATGTGTTTCTCTCACATCAATATTTCTCTGTCTTTCCCTCTCTCTTCTACTCTCTCTAAAAATCAATGGAAAAATATTCTCAGGTGAGGATTAAAAATAAATAAAGTCACCTGCAACACTCAACAATAAACATTCGTGAGTATAACTCTCATTTTCCAGACAAAAGACATGCCAGGAAAGCAGAAATACAGATTTTTATAAAAATTGTAGGATTTACTTGTTATTGAATAAAGGCAAAGTATTTTCCAAGGGAAGCCAGCAAGTGAGTCAAACAACTTCTCCAGGAATATATATTTTTAATATGATTTACTATGGTACAATGGTCCTAAAACGAGGCTTCCCTCCAAGGATTTAGTGTGGTATCTTCTTCCCCACTTTGTAAATATCCAACCTCAAACCCTTACCACAAAATAAGAACAGCCATATCCACCTTTCCACTATTTTACTTACTCGTCATAAATTTCTTTTTGCAGATTTTTAGCAAAATCGAATAGCTGTGCAATTGAAAGCAGTGACACATGAAATTCTGCACCTAAAATTTAAAAAGTGGGAGAGGGAAGTAAGACTCTGAAGTATCACCTTACTCTAAAAGTACCACCTTCCTGATGTACTGAAGTTAGTTTGTTTTAAATTGAGAAATAGGACAAAGCAGAAAAAAAAAAATCACCCATAGTTTCATTACACAAGCAAAGCCATTATTAATATTTTGGAGTATTTATAAGTACTTGTAGCTTTATTCTAAACTTCTTAAGGGCATAAAGAAATGTATTAAATCATCTATTTCAACTCCCCACATGAATTAAGTACTAAATAAAAACTTATTGAAATGTTCAAGTATATCCTAAGGGGCAATAAGTTTTCTGAAAGAAACAGGACACTATTCCTACAGAGTTTTATACATATTCTAATAGAATTTTTAACAGAAATTTTCAAAATTAGCTAAAGGTCTTCCTCATTATAAGTAAACTGTTTCACTTTCCCATCATAAATAGATTTTCAAAAGATACCTACCTTTAATTATGTTTATGGAATTTTTGTAGATGATCCGTGCCAACTCACCCGTAAGGATTTCTTCAGGATAATCAAGATTTCCCTAAAGAGTGTTACATTGAACGTAACTTAACAGGTAGTTGAAGTAAGTAGAAAAAGAATAGGATAAAAATGAACTGTCCTAGACTACCTGTGCCATATAATCTCTGGCAAATCACATCTCTCTCTGCCAATTCCCTCACTTATAAAATGTGTAGTTGAATAAGACCGCTAATCTTCGAACTATGTTCTCTCAGGCTCCTGGAGTGGTGCGGGATCACTTGGCTTAAGGCCTCACTCCCCATTTAGACCAGAATAGGTCAAATTTTACATGCCCTATTGACCCTTCTATGTACAACTCTATTTGGATGAAAAATTTCAGAACCCTGGCCAAGTAGCTCAGTTGGTTAGAGCATCATCCCGATACACCAAGGTTGTTGGTTCGATCCCTGGCCAGGGCACATACAAGAATCAACCAATGAATATATAAATAAGTGGAACAACAAATGGATGTTTCTCTCGCTCTTTCTCCCTTCCTCTCTCTCTCTAAAAATCAATTAATTTTTTTTTAATTTCAGAGTTCAAAACCATAACAACAGATGATAGCAAAGTTCCTTTTTCAGTTCTAACATTCTGAAACTTCTTTCTTTAAAACTATTCTGTCACATAAAAAATTACATAAAAAAAGAGACTGGAAACCACACATTTCATAACCTTTCTCAAGCTCCATTAATATGTCACTTCATGAAATCATAAAGTATTAAAGAGTAGCATTTGGCCATTCCATCAGTAATAATTTTGAGGATCATTCCAATTAGTCCAAATGTCTATTTTTATAGCACAAAATTCCATTTTTATTACTAAGCCCATTTTACCAGGTCAACTCCAGACTCATCTCAAAGTTTCCAAATATGACATTAAATTGGAAAGAAAAATACATTCCAAAGATTTTTCTCTTACACCTAAGCAGCTCAAAACACTATACATTTTTAATAAGTTACAACACACTAGGCTCTTACCACATCCATTTTGGCTTTTTCAAATTCTTCCTTTTCCTTCCCCAATTTCTCAGCATGCATCAGCTCCATCCTGAAGTACTACAGAAGGGAAATGATGAACTGAAAAGCTTTGGAGATAACTTTTTTTAATTAGAAACATAGAAGATGCCCTTTTTTTAGCCATAATAATTGGATCTGGGAAGGCCTGGGGGAGTGGTATATCTGCTATGAAACTAGCTGGCACTGACAAGGAGGGAGATTCTGTGATGGTGGAACAGTTCTGTATCTTGATTGCAATGGCTACACAAATCTATACATGCGAGGAGAAAAAGAACTATATGCACGTTATACCAATAATAATTTCTTGGCTTTGATGTTATACTACTTTGCTATTATAAAATGTAACCATCAGGGAAAACTGAGTAGTATATGGTACACAGGACCTCACTGTATTATCTTTGTAACTTGCTGAGAATCTGTAATTATTTTGAAGTAAAAATCAATGGCAAACATATAATATCAGGTATACAAAGAGAAACTAATGCATGATTAACATGATTTACTAATGATGTACTACAATCCTAATGTAGGGGTTCTCGATACCCTTTTAGGTGGTCTGCAAATGAAAACTACTTTCATAATAATACTAACATGTTCCTTGCCTTTTACTCTTATTATATTAAGAGTTTAAAGTTTTTCAGAGACTATATAATGGGCCCTATCACCTAGACCAGTGGTCGGCAAACTGCGGCTCGGCACATCGAGGCTCGCGAGCCACATGCGGCTCTTTGGCCCCTTCAATGTGGCTCTTCCACAAAATACTGGCTCTTCCACAAAATACTGACTTCTGCGTATGGGCCACAAAGTTTCAATCGCACTGTATGTGCGTGCCCGCACGTGTTATTTTGCTGACCACGGACCTAGACTAGTGGTTCTCAACCTTGGCTGCACATTAGAATCATCTGGGGATCTTGTTAAAATCCTGATTTCTAGGTCGGGACGGCCCCGGTGAGGTCGGGATGGCCCCGGTGAGGTTGAAACGGCCCCAGTGAGGTCGGGACGGCCCCGGTTAGGTTGAAGCGGCCCCGGTGAGGTCGACATGGCCCCGGTGAGGTAGAATCGGCCCCGGTGAGGTCGGGACGGCCCCGGTGAGGTTGAAACTGCCCCGGTGAGGTCGGGACGGCCCTGGTGAGGTTGAAACGGCCCCGGTGAGGTCGGGACGGCCCCAGTTAGGTTGAAATGGCCCCGGTGAGGTCAGGATGGCCCCGGTGAGGTTGAATCGGCCCCGGTGAGGTCGGGACGGCCCCAGTGAGGTTGAATCGGCCCCGGTGAGGTTGAATCAGCCCCGGTGAGGTCGGGACGGCCCCGGTGAGGTAGGGGCGGCCCCGGTGAGGCTGAAACGGCCCCGGTGAGGTTGAAATCCCCCCGGCGAGGCGAGATGGCCCCGGTGAGGTTGGGACTCCTCCAATGAGGTTGGGACAGATAATGGGGCCCAGTATAGACTGATGAACAGGGGTAGATCCACAGCAGACCAACATTCCCACTGTCAAACTACAGTGGGAACCCTGGGGAGGTTGGGGGGGGGGGGGATTAAGAGATCAACCGAAGGACTTATATGCATGTATATAAGATTAACCAATGGACACAAGACGGGGGGGGGGAAGGGGCCGGGGGAATGTCAAGGGGGGGAAAAAAGGAGACATATGTAATACTCTTTGTAATACTTTAAGAAATAAAAATTATAAAAAAATAAATAAAAAATCCTGATTTCTGGGCCTCATCATTAGTAACAAAGAAGTTCCGGAGGATGAGGCCCAGAAATCAGGATTTTAACAAGATTCCCAGTGATTCTAATGTGCAGCAAAGGTTGAGAACCACTGACCTAGACTGAATGCCAAAGGAGATCTGAGAATCCAGCTGTCCTCTATTAAGTCAGATATCCAAGGCATTAACAAAAATGTGTAATAATGCCATTCTTCTTTTTCAACTTTGTTTTAGAAGAGCTTTCATCTAAAAATAATTAATCTGTATTAACATATCATGAATTTATTTTTAAGTAACTATTGTTAGATTTCTTGGTTTTAATTTTCAATGAAGTAAAAACTGATAGCTATAACCCATATAAACAAAAGACCTTTGAGGTCCTCAGTAATTTAAGATTGAAAGAAGACCAAAATGTTTGAACACCACTACTTATAGATCAATATATACTAACATGGAACTATAGTCATTATATCCTCCTATATAATAAAAGGCTAATATGCAAATTGTCCCCTTGGGAGTTCAACCAACTGGGAGTTCGACCGACTGGGAGTTCGACCGCTCACTATGACGGGCGCTGACCACCAGGGGGCGGCACAGAATGAAGAAAGGCCCTGGCCGGCAGCCGGCAGCCAGGGGAAGGAAAGCCCCGATCTACCCTGATCGCCGGCCAAGCCTAGGGACCCTACCCATGCACAAATTTTGTGCACCGGGCCTCTAGTATTAGATAAAAATACAGAACACAAGAATGTTATAGTCCTACTTTTCAGAAATAAATATCTGTAATTGGCATAAAGTATGGGGGATAAGAATAATTTTTCTGTTACTTTTTCATAGAACTGTTTTCTATTAAATAAATAAATTCTAATTATTTTTGATAAGAATAAACAATAAATCTATTCCCATTTTAGAAAATACAAGTATGAACATTTATTGAAAGCCTCCAAAAAACATGTAAAATAATAACACCAGGGGGGTGGATAGAGGTGGAAGAGAGGGGAAATAAATGGTGATGGGGGAAAAATAAATAAAAATACCATACAATAACCCTATAACAGCAGGGAAGACTGATTCTTACAAATAGTTTTTCAATAAAAATAATCAAGGCAGCAAAGGAATGTCTAGTAGAATATGAAAAGAAACAAAGGGAATCAAGAGTACAATATAAGCCCTAACCAGTTTGGCTCAGTGAATAGAGCGTCGGCCTATGGACTCAAGGGTCCCAGGTTCGATTCCGGTCAAGGGCATGTACCTTGGTTTGGGGCACATTCCCAGTAGGGAGTGTGCAGGAGGCAGCTGATCAATGTTTCTCTCTCATCGATGTTTCTAATCCTCTATCCCTCTCCCTTCCTCTCTGTAAAAAAAAAAATCAATGAAATGTATTAAAAAAAAAAAAGAGTACAATATAAAACATCATTAAATTACTATAAGACAAAAAAAAAATATGGTTGGGACAGCTACAATACCAATTAGCATGAAAACCCATTATCTTTTTCCCCTCAGCATGGAGGTCTAATTTTCATTTGAAGACTAAATACCTCAGAAAAGGGTGCAAAGTTTCCAATAATGCACCATTTCCAACATTTGTTTGGTTTTCTTTCATCAAAAGTATAGCCATCATTGTCCCAGTGTACCTCTCCAAGGGGAAGTAAGTCTACCAAGAAGGGAAGAAAGTACCTATCTCAAGAAACAGAGACAAAGAGAATGAGAAGAAAATGGACAAGAAAGGGGAAGAGAAGCCAAAAGGAGGTAAGTGGGTGGAGGTGGGGGAGAAGTGGAAGAAAAAGACAGGAAGGAGGGAGAGAGGCTAAGAGAAGTGAATGGGAGGAAGGGAGGGAGGGAGGTAAGAAAAAAAATAAGAACAAAGGTATAAACATGGCTGAACCCCTGCCCCCCCGACTGAAAAAAGTAAGGTCCAGTTCCCTACCCCTCCCAACCATAATGGGCAGGTAGGAGCTTTAATGTCTCACTAACAACCTAGAACAGCAGTTCTCAACCTGTGGGTCTCGACCTCTTTGGCGGTCGAACGACCCTTTCACAGGGGTCGCCTAAGACCATCCTGCATATCAGATATTTACATTATGATTCATAACAGTAGCAACATTACAGTTATGAAGTAGCAATGAAAATAATTTTATGGTTGGGTCACAACATGAGGGACTGTATTTAAAGGGCCAGAAGGTTGAGAACCACTGACCTAGAAGATGCACAGGGTCAAAACCTACTACTGGCCAAAATATACCCTCCTAGCCCCCTTTCTCAGCAACTCCCTACTAACCACTAGCCTCTGTATGGGAAGTTTTTTTTAACTTAAAGAATGTGTGTCTCCAGAGGACCAAAGTGAGACATCACTCTCATGGAATGAACACACACACTCACTTCTTGATAAAGTTTTGCGGACTGGGGATGAAAGCGCAGAGCTCGAAGAAAGAGTTGTCTTGCACTTTCTGAAGACAAGCGATCTTCCATTTCCCATTTGGCCGCCATAATCCACAAAGCTATAAATGAAAACATCAGACTTCATTTTAATAAAGTAACTAACTTAGGCACACACACAAAAAATGAATGCTCCAATTTTAATACTGAAAGAATTTTTTAATCCTATCAAAAGAGGAAGGAAAAGGAGAGAGGGAGTTTGTAATGGTTATCTGTAAAGTACTGTTGCTTTATCTAAAATTACAAAGAATAAAATTACAAAGAATATCCTAAAGAAAACAGGTAAATATTACATCTAAAGTAGTAATTATGGTTCTATTACTATTTCATCAGATCTAAAGTCAACATCATTTCAAGTCACATGCAAATTTTAAAAGTGATAAAATGCTGGGGAAAAATTGTGCATCTTAGAATCAATGAAATAAAATTATTTTCCTCTTTTCTCTAATTAAAATAGTTCATAATTTTTTTAAATGGCTCATAATTTTTAAAATAATTTTTTATCATACCTGCTAGGAATAAAGGCTTAAAAAACAAAACTTTTGTCCTTCTAGATGGGAAATTAAACTTGAGTTTGCATTCTAACCATTTCCCTATAAACTTAATAAAGGTCAGCAAGATTACCTTTGGTAAAAGTGACCTATGGCCCTAACCGGTTTGGCTCAGTGGCTAGAGCATCAGCCTGCGGACTGAAGGGTCCCAGGTTCAATTCCAGTCAAGGGCATGTACCTTGGTTGCGGGCACATCCCCAGTAGGGGGTGTGCAGGAGGCAGCTGATCGATGTTTCTCTCTATCCCTCTCCCTTCCTCTGTGTAGAAAATCAATAAAGTATATTTAAAAAAAAAAAAAAGTGACCTATGGTTGGTAACCACATCTGGACTAGGCTAGGGTCCTGAAGCTGTGCCCATCCAGGGGTCTTCTAAGCCAGAGTGGCTCCTCTACCCACTCATCCCCTCGCACCTGAACTGTTTCCAGCCTCTGAAGTGCGAATAGCACTCTACTGAAGAAAGGCACCTACGCTGTCCTGCTGTATTCTTCTGAATAAACTAGTGCCAAATGTAGCCTAATTGAGACTTGTGTGTTGTAAAATATCTAGTGGAGCCTAATACTTGAGAACAGGCACAGGGCACCTCCACTGGAAAATAATGTACCATCACACAGTATACACAAGGGAAGTGTTTCTCTTACAAAACATGAGCACCTACTCTATGCCAGTCACTCTTGTAAATCTGTATTAATCTTTTCCCCTGGAAGTTTCTGAAAACCCCTTAAATAAGACTGCCTTTCAAATAGAATGTCCC